AAGATTAGGTCTGCTGCCTTGCTCGCTCGCTTCAGGCTCGCTCGCTGCGGCAGCAATAAATATTTTTAATAGAAAATCTACTGAAAACGCCAGCCATTTTTGTCACTTCTAAATGTTTGGGTTTCTTGGTATTATTTTCTGCTAGAAAATACTAGGTTGGTGTTAGATAGTTCAGGTTGATGTTAGAGGTGTCGCAACCCTTCTGGCAATGTTCTATTTGGGGATTATGACCCCTAGAGCATTCAGTCTCTCCTAGCAGGTCTTATATATACCACTTCGGGATGAAAACATAGGCTTAATAAGTCTTTGGGTTGACCAGAGTTTAAGAGTATAATGTATATAATTAGTTCACTTCACCCTTCAACCCATTCTCCCGGGCCACTGAGATATATCAAAACAACCCCTTTGAGAATATTGTTCCATATTGTTAATATCTTCGCTTTGTTGGTTCACAATTGCAAATAATTTCATCACTTCATCCTTTAGACATTTAGTTTCTATTAGGGCATCATCGCACTTGGCCTCAATTACATCAATTCGCTCATTTCAGAATCGAATCAAATTTATCACTTAGAAAATTTAGACTATCCTTTAAACTATCCATTTGCAAACAGATTGGTTTGAATTGTTCATCTAATTTTTTGTTTAGAACAGTAACAAGTTCTTCTTTTGTAACGTCATCATTTACGACAAAAATTAGGGGAAAAAACAACACAAATAAACATAAAAAACACTAAATTATGAAGATATTAGCAGAGGTCGAAATTTTGCTGCCAACTTGAAACGTGCACGCATGCGCATATCATAAAAATAGTTCATGCGGTATCACTTGTTCACTCCCTCTAAACATGTTGCCAAAATTGTAATATATATGTATTTTGTTATTTTCTTGCTATTTTCTTTTGTTATTTTCTTGTTATTTTTTGTTAATTAATGCAGAACTTTCATTAAAACTGTGAGGGTGGAAGCAGGTCGAACATAGTATGGTAATTCAGAGGCTGAGAGCAAAACTCTTTAATTAATTTACTGAGATCTGCAGTACTAGTATTGTCAGTATTGGGCTTAAGGGGATCTACAACAATTAAGCTGAAGAAGTGAACTATGACATCAACAGTATTTAAATATGCTTAACGAAATTGGAAGGATTGTTTAGACGGCTTTTATTAATAACAATGAAAATTAATTTAACCCTTAGTTTAGGTCGTGTTTGCATGGACAGATCATAGAAATAATAAATATCTATTATTTATATTGGACAGATAAACAAAAATAATTTTTAACTCGTGATACTAACTTTTAACGAACTCTTTATCCTTTTTAATGTAGTATACAACAAAATTATTACTAACTAGAGGGCACTCAGAGACTGCATACCTCCGCCCACATTAAATTTCGGTCGTGTGAAATGCAACTAAGACAATAGACAATTAGGGCTGAAGCTTAATGAGGTTTATCATCTCATTGTCTTCTTAGCACTGCGTGCATACATTATACACGTCCTAATTACGCATTCAGTGAGTTTTTTATAATTGATCGGGAAAAGCAAGACAAAACTTTGTTCATTTCTCGTTCAATTTTTAACCAAATTCAACCAAATTTTAATCAGTTCTTCCTTAGCCGATGGGAAATGCATTCAAAAATTTCGTATGAATATGTTTGGTATTTCTTGAGTTATCGTGCTCACAGACAAACACACACACATACACACACACACACACACACACACACATATACACACACACACACACACACACACACATACAAACCCAGATGATTACATAACCTCCTGGCGGAGGTAACAAACCCAGATGATTACATAACCTCCTGGCGGAGGTAATAAAGTTCATCAGTTTTGTTATTTTCTTGTGTTTGTTTGTTTTTGTACAAGGGAGGGCTCAGCTCTTAGGTTCTGATCAAATACCTAAGGAAAAAAAATTATCCCAATCTCAACTCCCTTCCCACGGTATTGGAGAGTGAGAAGACCACACTGTGAATACAGTACGTTATTATTCACAGTTGGATTGAAAGTTAAAATGCCTGCCCGGAAGTGGGGTTTAGGAGGAGTTAAATACAGTGCTTCCACTTCGGCAAAGTAAAATTTCTCGTTTTTGTCCTTCTTTTTCGCAGAATTTCCTTCCCAAAATCCTAAATTTCCTTCCATTTTTCCTTCCAATTTTTTTAAAATAGTATAGTAAATTTTGTATTGTACTGTACTGTACTCCCGATGTAAATAAGTAAGGTGTACTCAAATAGTGAATCCTTAATTTATTATTAGAAAAATAATTAATTTAAAGATGCTGTCCACTCTGTTCTGCGCATCAGTTCTGCTCATAACAAAGGGGGGTCCAAGATATAAAAATTGCCAAACTTTTGCATCCTTCGAACTTTTTTGAATTGAAAGGTAGATTTTATATTCATTTACAAGCATATCGTACCAGAAAAGTGTTAGATATTCTGTTAATATATCATATTTTACAAATATAGCAGTTCAAAACGTAAACAAAGTTCGCGCATGCGCACAGGAGTGGAGATCATCTTTAAGATATAAGCTTTAGGATTATAACTATTACTACTATAGAGGTTGGCTACTTGGCTGTATAAACTTATAAATTATAAGTTTACAGCCAACCTCTATAGTAACATATAATCATTGTACGGTATAAAATCCAAGTATCCAACATTAGTGTTCCAGATCACTACAGAGTAGCTACTCTACTGAGTAGAGTAGTATATAGTCAATAGTCTATACCCATATACCGTTCAAAATTAATTTGAATAACGATCGATAATTAATTAACCTGAAAAAACATGTTTTGTTGTCTCATTACCTCCGCCAGGAGGTTATGTAATCATCTGGTTACCTCCGCCAGGAGGTTATGTAATCATCTGGTTACCTCCGCCAGGAGGTTATGTAATCATCTGGGTTTGTATGTGTGTGTGTGTGTGTGTGTGTGTGTGTGTGTGTGTGTGTGTGTGTGTGTGTGTGTGTGTGTGTGTGTGTGTGTGTGTGTGTGTGTGTGTGTGTGTGTGTGTGTGTGTGTGTGTGTGTGTGTGTGTATGTGTGTGTGTATGTGTGTGTGTATGTGTGTGTGTATGTGTGTGTGTATGTGTGTGTGTGTGTTTGTCTGTGAGCACGATAACTCAAGAAATACCAAACATATTCGTGCGAAATTTTTTGAATGCATTTCCCATCGGCTAAGGAAGAACTGATTAAAATTTGGTTGAATTTGGTTAAAAATTGAACGAGAAATTATCAAAATTTTGTCTTGCTTTTCCCGGTCAATTAACAAAAATATTACTGAATGCGTAATTAGGACGTGTATAATTTATGCACGCAGTACTAAGACAATAATAAGATGATTGTTGGGAACGAACCCAACCGAATGTCGTTTATATATCAAATAATAATCACCACGTCATTACACTTTATTTACTCTCAAATTTAGTTTATTCTAAGCAGTACATCATGACAAATATCTTGTACATATCAAATATCCATGTATCATTCTGTCCTCGATTCTGTCCGTATTTCGACTAATATCGGTCGTAAACAAAGGTTTGCTACATAGAATTACAAATAACGTTCATTAACAACAAGTTCAAGTGTTTCAAAGTCAAAATGAAAGAAATACTTACATCTTATGGCGATTTTAAAGCAGATTACGTTTGTATATCTATCACGAATATCAATAGTTTTCCAAAAAGCCTCGCTCGCGAAGACTGGCCCTAAATTAATTATGTTAATGTCAACAAACGGCGCGAAATAATTAGATTAATTATAGTAGCGTCCGTAACATCCCGGCCCCCCAATGAGCGTATCACGTTAGCTCATTTATCACCTTTATTCGTCAGCCTCCAGGAAGCACAACTTCTGAATTGGACGTTTCAAAACATTGTTTTTCGTTTTCACTTCGGCGACTCTGACAAGACCATCCTTTCCAGGAAACACTTTCGTCACTCTTCCAAGTAGCCAATGTCCTCGTTGAAGATTCTCGTCTACTAGGAGTACAAGATCGCCAACTGCTAAATTTCGTTGTGGTGTAAGCCATTTTTGTCTTTGTTGTAAAGTTGGTAGATACTCATGTAACCACCGTTTCCAAAAATGATCGCTCAAAATTTGTGATTGTCTCCAACTCTTTCTGCTATACAAATCAGCATCGTCAAATTTTCCAGGAGGTAGAGTAATCGCTGGTCTTTGAAGTAACAGATGATTCGGAGTTAACGGCTCCATGTCCCGAGGATCGTCCGAGTTCGGGCACAGAGGTCTGGAATTGGCAATCCCTTGGGCTTCTGATAACACCGTTCTCAAGACTTCCTCTTTAACTAATGTCTTTCCTAGGATAGCCTTCAACGATTGTTTAACACCACGAATCAGTCTCTCCCACCCTCCCGACATATGGGACGCTAATGGCGGGTGGAAAATCCATTCTACTCCGGTTTGTCTTAAATGCTCTTCAATCTGATTTTGATTCCACCTTTCTAAAGCTTCACGTAACTCGCGCTCTGCGCCCACGAAATTTGTACCGTTATCTGAACGCAGTTGTTTAACGCCAGCCCGAATGTTTAAGAATCTTCGTAACACCATGATGAATTCATCGGTTTCCAGGGACTGGGCTAGTTCTAGATGTATGGCTCTCGAGGCCATACATACAAATATACATCCATAACGCTTGGCAGAACCCCGTCCGTGTTTTACCATAAGTGGTCCGAAAAAGTCAATGCCCGTGTTTGTAAAGGGAGGTTCGAAAGGAGTAAGGCGAACTTTAGGTAACTCTGCCATTTCTTGGGTCATCCGTACAGAGTATCTTTTCCTACACGGTATGCATTTGCTGATCACTCGTTTAATAGTCGCTCTGCCCTTAACGATCCAAAATTCTTCTCGAAGTCGAGATAACAACTGCTCTTGTCCGCAGTGTCCAAGTTGTTGGTGATTAAAACGAATTATCAAGGTTGTAACATGGTGATTCTGCGGTAAAATCATCTGATGTTTACTGTCAAACGTGCTTGGTGCTTCTGATATTCTACCAGAGACCCTTAGGAGTCCGTTCTCGCCTAGCATGGGCTTAAGCTTCACAATCGAACTCGATTTCTTCACACGTTGACCGGTTTTATCTTTTCTTTTAAGATCTTGCAATTCTTCCGGAAACGACTGGTGTTGAACAAGTGAAACAATCGTTCGTTTAGCTAAAGTCAGGTTATCCACGGTTAAAGTATTGCATTCTAAACGTTTGCCATTTTTCAACCAAGCTTTGTACTTGCATAGCCAAGCCACATATTTAAGTAGTTTCGACCAGTCCGAGTATCTTTCGAGGAGTTCATAGAGCAGAGGGCTTACAGTCGTCTGGAGGCGAGTCGCACAAGTCGTTTTCTTCCTTTTGATTTCCAGTTCGCTGTCGGGTATCTCTTGAATTGGCTCATCGGGCCATGTATCTCTGGGGTTCGAAAGGAACTCTGGACCTCTTAGCCATCGCTCTTGTTCTATGTATTGCTGAGGGTCCAAACCGCGAGAACAATCGTCCGCAGGATTCAAACTTCCTGGACAGTGCCGCCATTGACTCGGATCAGTTGATTCCCGAATTTCGTTTACTCGGTTAGCTACGTACGTTTGAAATCGTTTCGTCGTGTTGCGAATATACGACAATACTATTATACTGTCCGTCCAAAAGTACGTTTCA